TCGACAGTCAGACTGTTGCGTACCAAGTCCATCGTGTGTTTCGTGGAGTGAGCATATGAAAGTGATTAACGCGTTATTTAGTTTACAATGAAGCAAACTTCCGCGTCCTCAAACGTACTTACCTGACTCCGGTTACAAGACAATTTCAAGCCGTCCAGCGCAGCGGCTGGCAAAACTAAACAGCCGCATACCGCACGCGACCTTGCCCCCATACCATAGGCCAGAATTTTATAGGGGTGGATGAGATTTTACTTGCTGGCCTTTTCACGATCACTGTAATATTGGGTAATTTAGAATCGGAAGTATGGCTTTATTGACTGCTTCTATATAGGTTTATTGTGTAGCTGCCAGAAGGGTTATTATGCTTACTGAGGCAGGAAAAACCGATGAGAAATCAATTAATAAAGCGTACTATTGTGCAAGTATGTAGAAAAATTGGGATTATATAAACAAACCTGAAGGTGTGTCTCTCTAAAACGGTTAATGAGTAAACAAAATTGCTCTACCTATTCAATAGTACTTTATGTTTTACTTTGAAGGTTGGAATTATCGGCGGATCTGGTTTGGATGACCCCGAAATCCTCGAAAACCAGAAGGAAATCCATGTGACTACACCATTCGGTGAGCCGTCCGATGCGCTCCTCGAAGGTACGATCGCTGGCGTCCCATGTGTTCTTCTAGCAAGGTGAGTTACTTGCTTTTGCTACTTTTTCGTCCGTACTATAGTCGAATTCTTTTCCAACTGCCTTTTCACATATCAAATTACATTATATTATTTGTCTTCCAAGGCATGGACGAAAGCACTCACTCATGCCAGCTAATATCAACTTTCGCGCCAATATCTGGGCTCTCAAATCTGTTGGTTGCACCCATGTTCTCGCCTCGAACGCGTGTGGAGGACTGCAGGAGCATACCAAGCCCGGGGACTTAGTCGTGCTCGACCAGTTCTTTGACCGCACACAGGGTAGAATTTCTACCTTTTACGATGGCAAGCCAGACCATCCC